CCGTGAAGTCTTCTTCTATAGAAGACCAGGAGGTCGTCTTCTTCTATAGAAGACCAGGAGGTCGTCTTCTTCTATAGAAGACCAGGAGGTCGTCTTCTTCTATAGAAGACCAGGAGGTCGTCTTGTATAGAAGACCAGAAGGCCGTCTTCTATAGAAGACCAGAAGGCCGTCTTCTTCTATAAAAGACCAGGAGGTATTCTCATACACTAAACCCGGATGTATTCCCCTATACGACCAAGAGGTCTTCTCCCAAGGAAGACCAGGAGTTCTTCTTCTTCTTCCATAGAAGCCCAAAAGGTCTTCCTCATCTATAGAAGACCAATGGTTCTTCTTCCATAGAAGACCTAAAGGTCTTCTTCCATAGAAGGCCAATTGGTCTTCTTCCCTCTTAAATAGATGACCAAGAAGTCTCCCCTCTTCTATAGAAAACCAACTGATCTCCTTTCATAGAAGATCAGAAGGTCTTCTCTAATAGGGGGTCTCCCTCAATAGAAGACGCTGATATCTTCTTCAATAGAGGACCAATAGGTCTTCCCACATAGAGACCAAAAGGTCTTCTCCCATAGAAGACCAGGAGGTCTTTTTCAAAAGAAGACCAGTAGGCCTTCTTCAATCGAAGACCAGGAGGTCTTCTTCAGTCGAAGACCAGGAGGTGTTCTTCAATAGAAAAACCTGTGGTCAAGAGAAACCAAGGGAAGACCAAAAGGTCTTCGTTTATAGATGTCCAATGTGTCTTCATTCATAGAAGACCAAGAGGTCTTCTTCTTCTTCTTCTAGAGAACACTATGAGATATTCTTCTTGAAATCTTCTTCAATAGGTCCTCTTCCATAGCAGACAAAAATGACTTGTTCCATATAAGACCTTGAGCTGGTCTTCAGTGGAAGACCAGGAGGTCTTCTTCAATGGAAGACCAGGAGGTCTTTTCCAATAGAAGACCAAGAGGTCTTCTTCAATAGAAGACCAAGAGGTCTTCTTCCATAAAAGACCTTGAGGTCTTCTTCCATAGAAGACCTTGAGGTCTTCTTCCATAGAAGACCTTGAGGTCTTCTTCCATAGAAGACCTTGAGGTCTTCTTCCATAGAAGACCTTGAGATCTTCTTCCATAGAAGACCTTGAGGTCTTCTTCGATAGAAGACCTTTAGTTCTTCTTCCATAGAAGACCTTGAGGTCTTCTTCCATAGAATACCTTGAGGTCTTCTTCCATAGAATACCTTGAGCTGTTCTTCTGTGGAAGACCAGGAGGTCTTCTGCAATGGAAGACCAGTGGATCTTTTTCAATAGAAGACCAAGAGGTCTTCTTCAATAGAAAACCTTGAGGTCTTCTTCAATGAAAGACCTTGAGGTCTTCTTCAATGTAAGACCTTTAAGTTTTCTTCAATGGAAGACCAGGAGGTCTTCTTCCGTAGAAGACCTAGAGGTCTTCTTCCGTAGAAGACCTAGAGGTCTTCTTCCATAGAAGACCTAGAGGTCTTCTTCCATAAAAGGCCTTCTTCCAAAAAAGACCTAGAAATCTTCTTCCATAGAAGACCAAGAGGTCTTCTTCCATAAAAGACCAAGAGGTCTTCTTCCATAAAAGACCAAGAGGTCTTCTTCCATAAAAGACCAAGAGGTCTTCTTCCATAGAAGACCTAGAGGTCTTCTTCCATAAGAGACCTTCTTCCTCCTTCTTCTATAGAAGATCAACAGGTCTTCTTCCATAGAAGACCTTCTTCCCCCTTCTTCTATAGAAGATCACCAAGTGCTCTTCTCCTATAGAAGACCACTAAGTGGTCTCCTCCTATAGAAGACCACCAAGTGGCCTTCTCCTATAGAAGACCACCAAGTGCTCTTGTCCTATAGAAGACCACAAAGTGGTATTCTCCTATAGAAGTCCACCAAGTGGTCTTTTCCTATAGAAGACCACCAAGTGGTCTTCTCCTATTGAAGACCACCACGTGGTCTTGTCTTATAGAAAACCACCAAGTGGTCTCCCCCCTTTTCCTATATAAGACCAGGGGTTTTGTCAAATATAAGACCGACTAGTTTTTTAAATAGAAGACCGAGCTGTTTTTTTTACCGAGTGTTCTGCTTCTAAAAAAGGCGTAGTAGCCTTCGTCTACATAAGTCTATAGAAGACTATTAAGTCCTCCGAGTTGTCCTTTTCCATAGCATAAATTACCATTAATTTTTCTGCAGCATTTTAAAATTTTAAAGCCCTTGATTTAAATATGTTCCAACACAATATGGCCAAGTCATTAAAAATGTTTGCCCATGCAAAGAGAACGGGAGGAGGGCCAGAAAAGAAAACATCAGCATTCTAATTATCTGCCAAGTCAGATTGTCTGGTATTTTCGTTCGTCCCGCTTCAATGACTTCAGCAAACAAATGTCTTACCAAATGTCACAATGAAAAATAAAGGCATTGTTCAAATAGGGTCGTGACCAAAAAAAAAAACGAAACCGGCGAACAGCCCAAAAGCTCATAATACAATTTTTCACGTACTCACAGCCATTTGAAAAATATGCGGCACCAGTTACAGATTTATTATTTTCAAATGTTGTAGAATTTTATGGTTACATGATTTGATGTTTGGTGTTTTTATTTAAGTATATACGTATTTATGAAACATGTTGGAAAATGGGATGAAGAGAAAGCAAATTGAGAGTGGGAGGAGGTAGGAACTTTGTGTGTTTTAAAGGAGAAATGCTGAGATTTCTTTGCCATACAAAAATTGGTAAAATATGGGAATATGGGATCAAAAAAGGGGAATTTACAAAAAAAATACATTTTACCCATTTTATTTTAATTTGATTGGGGCAAAAATTATGCAACACCTCGAAATATTGGTTTCCCACATAGGAAAGTATATATGGATCTTCCTATCTCGCCGAGCTGAGTCGATCTAGCAATGTATGCATTGGTAATCACTATATAGGCCACGAATATGACCCGATCTTCACGAAATTTAGAATGGAGGTGGGGCTAGAGCCAGAAAAGAAGCCTATTGGTGATGATCGCATAATATTTAGCTGTTGAAATGGACCAAAAACTGAAAAATTTCCAGATTTTGCGCTACAGGTCGCAATTATAGACCAATCGACGCGAAAGTTAGCAAGGGGCTAGAGAAGCCTTCCGTGCAGAAGCCTTCCGATTTGGATGGTCATCGGGTAATATTTAGTGGGTGAAATATACCATAATATTTGTGTTAAATAAAAGTCAAATTTTCCATTAAACCGCCAATATTTTTAATCCCGGCGAAATCACAAATAGACGAATAGGTCAATTCGGACCTTTACGTAGATGCCGATAGTAAATATATTGGATATGTATGGCGAAATATATACAATGAATATATACACTGGAAGGGGATGTTAGCTAGAATGTTTATATCTTGAGAACGGCCGGATCGATTTTGGCAAATTTTATCAATTCAGAATGCGCTCTTGGCATAAAAGGATAAAATCTAAAAATCGCGTCAAAAGATGCCAATAATGATGTTAATACAGCTTACAGGCGAAATCCAAAATACACAAAAGGCAACTTCTGGGTTTTTTTTATTTCGATTTTGTTGACGAATATAACCAAATATCGTAGACAAGCAAATCATATAGATAGTTTTAAATTTAGATATACAAAGGAGCCTTTTGCATTTGAAGATGATCGGTTCAAATGATTTAGAGGTTGAAATGAACCAAAAACAGCAACATTTTCCTGGTCACACAATTGAAATCAATCCACATGGAATTTTGCGTTAGAAGAGTGTTAAGGACAGAAAAGAAGTCTGGCATTTTGAATGACGATTGAATTATATATGACTGTAAAATGGACCACAAAAACTAATAACAGGACGGGGTGCTTAAATATTTGGCAAGTGCCCCTTATCAAAAATCTAAGGGAAATATCTGGGCAGTACTCTATGTCATAATTTCAAAAGCAGAATTTTGCAAAGTGAATTTGGACATAAGGGGGCTTCTAACATATTGTAGTGTTGTAGGGTATCACATGGTCGGTCCCGCACGACCATAGCCTTTGCTTACTTTTTATACCCTCCAACATAGTATGGAGAGTATAATAAGTTCGTCATATGGAGGGTATATTAAGTTTGTTAATGTCCGTCCGTCTATCCGTCTGTGGAAATCACTTAGCTTCCGAACGAAATGAATTACATTGATAAATTTTACTAAAATGTGTATTATGTCTACATGACCTCAGGTATTGAAAATGGGCCATGTAGGTACATATCTTCGTATAACCCCCATCTAACGGTACCTCCCGATATTCGGTATTTTGAAGATTTTAGCGACATTATTTATCGGAATTGTTTCAAATTTGGTATTTGAAGTTCGTAATGGATACTACATCCTAAGACAGAAAGTGAGCCATGTTGGTCGACATCTTCGTATAGCCCCCATCTAACGGTACCTCCCGATATTCGGTATTTTGATTATTTTATCGACATTATTTACCGGAACTATTTCAAATTTGGTATTTGAATTTCATAATGAATACTACAGCCTATGACAGAAAATTGTCTGTGCAGGTCCACGCCTTCGTATAGCCCCCATATAACGGTACCCCCGATATTCGGTATTTTGATGATTTTAGCGACATTATTTACCGGAATTTTTTTCAAATTTTGCATTTGAAGTTCGTAATAGATACCACAGCCTATGACAGAAAATTGTCTGTGCAGGTCCACGTTTTGTAACCTCCATGTTACCTCCCTATTTGATGATTTTAGCTACATTATAAACAGATTGTTTTTTCAAGTTTCGTATTTGAATATTGTAATAGCTTGTGACAAAAGTTGCCTATGCAGGTCCACTTCGTCGTATAGACCCAAATATGCGGCTACATTTAGTATTTTTAAGATTTTAACAGAATTTTCAACGCATTTTTTTTTTTTTTTTGTTTTGAAAATTTGTACCAAATGGTGGAGGGTATTTAAAAGTTCGCCCCGGCCGAACTTACAGCTTGTTTTGAGTTAAAAATGAGCTTTTCTTCAAAATTCATACTCACCATTTATTCGATTTCCTTTTTATATTTAGTTAACCTGCAATAAAAAAAAGATTCTTAATAATTATAACTCAATTAAAATATTTTATAGTTTATTTCCGGCAACAATAAGCTACGCTTTAAAAAATATCAATTAATTAATATTAATTCATATCACATAATGATGAAATGATTTTAATGCACTTTGAATTCCGAGTTCTAGGAATAAAACCCAAAAAAAAAAAAAAAAAGTTTCCTCTTTTTCAAGCTTCATTACCATCAACCAACAAAGTGTTCCGAGAATTGAGCATGAATTCGATGCGGATTCCTGGCAAAGAAATGAGTCATAAAAATAATCAATATCATAAATTGTTACGCATCGCATGTATGGCAACGTTTGTAGCATTTTGAATAGCCTGAATGCTTGAGTCATTCAGAATGTGCATGTGTATATACACCCCTCGTACTCACCCCACAGTGATGATATCAACCATACTCCACCCACTTCACATCCATTTGGGGGATGGTGGGCTTTTACCAAAAGACTGTGGGATGAAATCTTCTCAATAGAGGAGAGGCATACCGACACATCTCAATATTTCCTCTTCATTTTATCCTATTCATTAATAAAGAGCTTACAATAACAGTGCAGTAGTGCGATATGAAGATAAGAAGAGGGAGTTTTTTTTTTACAGAATCATCCTCAATTACGTTACAAAGAGCATTGACCGATAAAAACACAACATTGGCCCCGCATCCACTCAAGCATTGCTGTTTGAGATTGAATCAGATTTTTTATGATGAATTGGAATTTTCATAATATTATGCTGGGCATATTTAACAAAGCTCGAGTGAAAAAGAAAATATTTGCTGTCGAAGTTTTCCCATCCTGTCCAAATTAAAAATTCTTGTGGGACTTCACATTATTAAAATTATCTTCATCGAAATAGTGGCCTGAGCCCCATTACACTGTGTAACTGAAAATAAAAACGAGTAAAGAAAGTCTTAAAGTCGGGCGGGGCCGACTTTATGATACTCTACAACACTTTGCTAATTTAGTAGAGCTCCAAATAACAATTAAAAATTTCTATGGGAGAATTCAATCATACACGCTATGATTATGATTATAATTTAAAGTTCAAAGGACTAAATATGCCGAAGCATTTGTATCAATTGAATTCGGACTTGTATTGCCCATTTGGTGCACAATTAATTTGAAATCCGATAAAGATATATATGGGAGCTACATCCAAATCTGAACCGATTTTGATAAAATTTGGCAAAGATATTTCTGAGCTGTATTTGATATATTTCCCTGAATATCGTTGTTACTGAGTGTTACGGCTGTGGGTAACAAATATAACAAACCGGATGAACAATATATATGGTAGCTATACCTATATCTGAACAGATCTTCACCAAATTTGACATACTAGCTTCTAGACTCAATTCGGTCGTAAGTGCCAAATTCCATCCCATTTAGACAAATATTAGACGTTTGGTGCACAATAAAAGGTAAATCGGACGAAGTTATATATGGGAGCTATATCCAAATCTGAACCGATCTCGATAAAATTTGGCAAATGTATTTCTGAGCTGTATTTGATATATTTCCCCAAATGTTGTTGTTGCAGAGTGCATATTACGGCTGCGGAGGACAAAAATAACGAATCGGATGAACAATATATATGGAAGCTATAGCTATATCTGAACCGATTTCGATCATTTATTTTCAGGCCTAATTTGGGTGTATTTGCAAAATTCGGGCTGATATTATACGTTTGGTGCACAATAAAAGGCAAATCGGACGAAGATATATATGGAAGCTATATCTAAATTTTGACCGATTATTTCCAATTTCAATAGGGTTCGTCCTTGGGCCAAACAAATGATATGTGCAAAATTTCATCTGGATCGGGCAATAAATGCGACCTGTACTTTGTTTACAAAAATACATGGACAGACGGACGGACGGACATGCATAAATTGACTCAGAATGTGATTCTATGCAGATCATCGAAAGGAAATATGGGTCTATCTCCTTTCCTTTTGCCTGTTACAAACAAATGCACAAAGACATAATACCCTGACCACCTTCTGGTGTAGGGTATAAAAATATTGATATATGAGTGAGAAACCAGATAAAGTGGATCGAAGTATTCCAATTCATCTAATACTGATAAAAATATTGGTATGTGCAAATTTTAAAAGAAATCGAACATTTATTTCCCATTTTGTGCGGCATATCGTAAATTCCATATTCATCTCAGGTTTCTGGTTAAGGGATACAGTTAGATAAAGCAAGTTTTAAAAAATCACTGACGTGTTCCTCAAGTTATGACAGATAAAAATATTGAAAATTGTGACCCTTTGTGGGTGAGGTACCAGAATGGGTTCGCAGATATATATCATCTTCACAACAGATCTTGTGTTAGTAAAATTTTTATCTGCACCTTGTGTTTGTTGAAATAATCTGAATGGAATCGGATGTTAACTTAGCGTTTTATGAGTTTCATGAATATTCAAAATTTTGATCCTTTGTCGGGGAGGTACCAGAATGAATAGACCGATATCTACTATCTTCACATCAGATCTTGTGTTAGTAGAAATAATGGGATGTGTGAAATATGAAGAGAATCGGATGCTTATTTCGGATTTTATTATCATTTTGGTTATTCAATGTTTTGACCCTTTGGTGAGGGGGAGGGATGTACCAGAATGAATGGACCGACATCTACGATTTTCATTGTGCTGGTGAGATTTTCCAAATTTTCAAGACAATCGGACTCTTATTTCATATTTTATACGAGTAATACATAGGAACATTACGAACACCAAATACAAAACTTGAAACAATTCCGCAAAAATGTTTAAAAATAGTCCAACGTATTGGTATTCGGAGATTTTGGTGGCCATTGTGCGCTGGAAATACAGGAACCTCATTTTGTAACCATTCTTGGATGACGCGTGCTAAGTGCGAAAGTGCTGAGTCTTGTTGGAATGTCCAAGGTCTGCGGCCAAAATATTTGAGTGGCTAAGGCTTTAGTACACCCTTCAGAATATTTTCGCAATAATATTCGGCATTTATTCTGATGCCACGGTCGATAATACGAGCGGAGAGCGACCATCTCTCATCGGAGAAAGCCAAATTCACCACTCTACCATCTTTATAACAAATCTTGTATTGATGGAAATATTGAGATTTGCCAAGTCTAAATTGAATTGGATGTTAATTTCGCGTTTTATGCGCTTCGGGAATATTTAAAAATTGATTTCTTGTGGGTACCAGAAGGAATGAACCAATATCAAGCATTTTCGCACCAGACCTTGTGTTGGTGGAAATATTGAGATGTATGAAATTTGAAGACAATCGGACTCTTACATCACATTTTATAAGTGTTGTAATTATTCAAAATTTTGACTCTTTGTTGGGGAGGTACTTGATGGTGTGGACCGATATTGTCCATTTTCGCACCTGACCCAGACCTAACGCAAATATAAGGATTTGCAAAGTTGGAGGACAAAATCAGATTATTGTTTTCCTTTCTGCGTAGAAAATATATTTTATGAAAATTCCGATATTGCCCATCTTCGAACTCGATCTAAATTAGACAAAAATATTACAATGTACCATGTTTGGACCAAATCGGATATTCTCTTCGAGAGTTATCGTGCGAACCAGTCAGCCAAACACATAGACAGACGGACGGACATCGCTAGATCGAATCCAAATGTCCTGAAACGGATTTGGTCCAAGGAGGCTAGGGTCTAAAACCGTTATATCTATTAGGCACGTTTTGACGGTATCAAATGATATATGCCCTCTCTAGCCATATGGCTAAGGGTATAAAAATACACTTTTAGTGAATAACCTGAGGGTTAAAATTTCCAACAAAAATAATCCTGGTATTGTTATCAGTCATATTGTCAAAGTTATAATAAATGCACGGTTTCCAAGGAATTATAATTCGAAAATTAAAGAAAAAAAAAAACAAGTTAGCAAAGGCTATAGACGTGCGGGGTCGTGCATGTGATACATTACATTAGTACAAAATGTTGAAAGTCCATTTATGTCCAGATCCATTTGGAATATGTGGATGTTGCCCCTAGGTTTTTGACCGAGGTCATTTGCTCAATATTTACGCACTCCTAAGTGTTGTTAGGTATTCAAAACAATTTCACACGAAAGTTGTGGCCCATTTTACAGCTAAATGTAATCCAATGGTCATCCAAAATACTAGACTTCTTCCTTGTCCTTAACTCCCTTCTCAAGCAAAATTCCGTGCCAATTGGTTTTCAATTATGACCTCTAGAGGGACTGCAAAATCAAGAAATTTTTAATTTTTGGGTTCATTTAAACCCCTAAGTTTACATCGTTAGAAACCATTGCCTTTAATTCTGAGCCTAACCCTACCCCCATGCAAAATTTCATGAGGATCGGAATATAATTTCGACCTGTATATAATAACCAGAACACAGTGTTGGGAGGTGTAGAAAAACTTTAGAAAATGTACAATTCCAAATTGTAAGTCAAATTGAAAAAAAAAAAATTAACAAAAATTGAAAAAAAAATAACGATTTTCTTAGATTTTATGCTCTTCTGGCAAGAGACTATTCCGAATTGATGAGAATGGTGTAAATCAGTCTAGTGGTTCTTGACTTATAAGCGGAATAACTAAAATTTATTTATTTTACATAGTATTGTACCTATCTTGGTATATATCCCATATCTTGGCTATCAACATCATTGTAAGGGTCAGAAGTGACCTTCTAACGTATTTGTGATTTAGCCGGTATTACAAATATTGGCGGTTTAGTGGAAATTTTCGTATTTTTTTGACATAAAAGTTATAGTTTATTTTACCCACTTAGGCTTCTGCCCAGCCCTGAACTCTAGCCCCATGCTAACTTCCACGTCGATTGGTCTTTATTTGCGACCTGTAGAACAAGTGCAAAATCAGGAAATTTATGAGTTTTTGGTCGATTTCAACCCCTAAATATTATGCGATCATCTCCAAAATGTCTTCTATTTTGACCAAAATCACACCTTTATTTTCA